CGTTTCTAGCCGCGGTTTTACCTGATCTTTGATTTGAAAGCAGTGATTTTCAAGCGTCCTTTTCTAATCTAGTCGTCACGAACTGACTGGGCTGAAAATGCTTTCAGTGACGCTGGGCTTTAGTCCGTCGATCGCTCGGGCATTCACTGAATTACTTCCGTAGAGGTAAGGAAACTTAAGAGCAGTATTTGAATGATTGAAAAACTAGAATGGCTGTGAACTTCGTAGTGACTCTCTTCTACGCGTTTGTGGGGAAAGAAGCAAACAGTTCTCTCACTGCCGAGGTCGAAACCCGTATGGTTATGCGTTCATCCCAAACATTTTTACAAAAAAATTATTTAAAATGATCATGATGCAATGATGGTCCTCTTAGATTTTATCATCTGCCAGGACAGCTAAATTATTTTGACGAAACCTGCTTTCTGACTTTAGAAGTCGGCAACCGATCCGCAAGATCGCTATAAGGACAGAGACGGGATCAGATAGTATTTATTTCCTCCTCGATGCAAATGTTCGGACCCCTCCCCCTTCCCCAGCGCGGCGTGATTCCAAATTAGTAACTTCAAACTTCGAAAGCTTGATAGAAAACTTGCGGAAATCGAAATTTAAACGTGCTACCATCAAAAAGCAATCAAAGGAAATAAAATTATGAAACTTCATGGAGATTCCAGTGTCGTGCTATGAAACAGTATACCCTTGAAAAATGGATCTACGTGTCAAGACAGGCTGAACTGAATTACTGATCTAAATATAACAAAAATATTTCGGCCGACTCTTTGGCGCTAATTGTTATTGGCATTTTTCGTAAGACAAGCCGTTCTTGAGTGAATAACGAACAAAGGAAAAATAAAACGCTTTTTGTCTCGATCCCCAAATATCTCACCTTAAAATTCGACAAAGTTAGAATAGTTGCGTGTAGTAATTTCGTGATCTTCGTCCAAACGGCTCTACGCTCCCGAGAATCTCCGAGTTTAGGTTCTTTAATCTTCTTTTTATTTTCACACTAATGGTCAAAAGGTCTTTTTCTTATCACAATAATGTATTAAGTTCAAACTATCTGTCATTTAACTTTCAGTTATCTTCTTTACATTGGCTATTATCACACGAATATGCTAGTCATTGTCACGTGACTTGTTAAAAAAATTAATTGGCTGTTGATTGAACTGGATTACGGGGATGGAATGAATGTAAGACGGATTCCGCTCAAAGTTCGAGCAATAAGTGTGAAAATTAATTATTTACTAAAAATCTACTCATAGCACGGTAACTTTTGGAATACTATTTAAAACAACTCACTTTATTTCATATCTCTAAGAGACCCCGTGATTAGATTCTCAAGCATTCTCGAGAAAGTTAACGTCAAACCTCGTGAGAATGCTTAAAGCGTGTGTTGTTGTGTTTTTAACTAACCCGAAACTTCTGTTTTAATTGAAGTATGGGTAACTTCAGGTTCAATTTTCGCTCGCGGGGTCAGCTTGGGACAGAGAGGTTAAGTCTCGATAAGTTCTTCTTAGCTGTATTCAAAATATTACAATGCCATGAGGTATTTTTGGTAACTTAATTTTTGCCATTATTGCTCGAATGTTCTGCGGAAATCATCTTTATTCTCAATCATTGACAAGGTTACATGACAGGGTACTGCTAAGTATCTTCATGGCTCAGTGTGTTCCCAAAACAAAAAGGAAATGTTTGCATCAATTAAAATATCTCATATTTTAAATTCTGTTTTGAAACATCGACATGGCCACCGAGATACCACAGACAGACACCAGCATCCGGGAAGTTTTATTTTACACGTACTTAACTAAATGCTTTTGTAGCTTGAATCTCAAAGAAAAACATGTGTAGTTAATCTGTAGCATGCGAGGAGGCTCACCTTTGAGTCATGCCCTCGAGCGCGCAGCGCAGGAAAGCGATCCGGCGGGATGGAGTCTGGTGAAGAGGCGCCAAGATAGTCATCTTCTCGTCTCGCGGCTTCGGCGCTCGATTTCGCACTCGAGGCTACGCCGCGCGCGCTTTTGTTCCAACGTGAGCCTGCTCACAGGCTAGTTAATCTGAGGTATTTGTGTTTTGAACCCAGAGTAGCAAAAACTCAGTACCTTGTCAAGCCTAGACAGACTACTACAACACCATGCGGAAACTTGTGCCCTTAGAATATTTATCATATATAACTGTGATCATTAGCCATGAAAATGACACTCATTTTATTTAACTCAGTAATTTAGTTTGCATCAAACATAAGCACGTAATCCAATTTTTTATTCTTCTTTTTAAAGGTCGAGGGGTGTCACCTTGATATCTTCTGTAAAGTAAATAACACAACGAGCAGCGTCAGTCTTTGATCACGTGACGATATGGAGGATCAAATATCACACAAACAAGTTTCTGGCTCTGATGGAAAAACTTTTAAATGTAAGCAATGTGAGAAGGGTTTTCATCATGTTGGAAATCTAAGGAAACATGAGAGATTACACACAGGAGAGAGGACTCATAAATGCAACCAGTGCGGAAAAGTGTTTAGTCGTGAAGAAACTTTGAAGCAACATAACAGAACACATACTGGGGAGAAGCCTTTTAAATGTAACTATTGTAGCACGTGCTTCACTCACATAGGCGCTTTAAAGATGCATAAGAAAACACACACAGAAGGGAAGCCTTTTGCATGCAAACAATGTGGTAAACGTTTTACTGGGGCACGAAATCTAAAGGAGCACGCGAGAGTACACAAAAGAAAAAAGACTTATAAATGCGACCAGTGTGGAAAGTGGTATACGCGGCCAGGGAATCTAAAGCAGCATATGAGAACACACACCGGAGAGAGGCCCTTTAAATGCAAGCAGTGTGATAAAACCTTTACTCAGGCTGGAGGTCTAAAGGAACACGCAAAAGTACACTCGGGAGAGAAGCCTTTTAAGTGCGACCACTGTGGCAAGTGTTTTAGTCGAGCAGGGAATTTAAAGCAACACACGATGATACACACAGGAGAGAAGCCCTTTAAATGCAACAAGTGTGAAAAGTGTTTCAACTGTTTAGCAACTCTAAAGAAACATGACAGAACTCACACAGGGGAGAAGCCTTATAAATGCAACCTGTGTGGCAAGTGTTATACTGTGGAGGGAAGTTTAAAGCAGCATGAACGAACGCACACAGGCGAGAAACCATTTGAATGCAGCCGGTGCGGGAAGTGTTTTAACCGGCGAAGGAACTTGAAGTTGCATGAAAGAACCCACACGGGAGAAAAGCCTTTTAAATGCAACCTCTGTGACTGGTCCTTTAGTGATAGAGGACATTTAAACCGTCATCAAGTAGTTCACACCAGAGAAAAGCCTTTCGAATGTGACTTTTGCGGCGAGTGTTTTCGACATATTGGAACGCTTCTGAAACATAAAACTGTTCATACCGGGAAGAAGCCATTTGTGTGTAACCAGTGTGGTAAGTCCTTTACTACGAAACCGTCTTTAGAGGATCATGAAAGAACACATACAGGCGAGAAGCCTTACAAATGCAATTTCTGTGGCAAGTGTTTTTTTCGCGCAAGCACTTTAACCGAACATAAAAGAACTCACACAGGCGAGAAACCTTATAAATGCAAGCACTGTGACAGATGTTTTAGTCACTCCGGAACTCGAAAGAAACACGAAGCAACACACTCAGCAGAGAAGAATTTTGAATGTGATTTGTGCGGCAAACGTTTTATTCTGTTACCCAATTTAAAACAACATCAAATAACTCATTCGGACAAGAGGCCTTTTGAATGCAAAGAGTGTGGCAAGTGTTTCAAGAAGGCAGCATTTTTAAAGACACATGCAAGAGTGCATACGCGTGAGAGGCCTTATCAATGTAACCTGTGCGGTCAGAGTTTCGGCTATAACAACAATCTAACATTGCATAAAAGAAGAAAACACACAGGCGAGAAGCCTTTTAAATGCAGCCGTTGTGAAAAGTGTTTTAGTAACTCATGGAGTCTTAAGGAACATGAGAAAACACACACGGGCGAGAAGCCTTTTGAATGCAAAAAGTGTGGCAAGTTCTTTACTCGGTCAGCAACTCTTCAGCAACATTTCAAATTACATACGGGAGAGAAACCTTATAAATGCAGTTATTGTGGAAGGCGTTTTAGAGCTTCATATACTCTTACGTTACATAAAAGACAACACACAGGCGAGAGGCCTTGTGAATGCAAGAAGTGTGGCGAGTGTTTTGCAACGTTAACGACTTTAAAACGGCATATAAAAAGAACCCACAACACAGCGAACACAGAAACAAGCCAAGATGACGGCTGCTTCAGTATCTCAGAACTTCTGAGCCAGCGTAAAAACACAAAAACAGGCGAGAAGCGTTTTGAATGTAGTCTTTGTGAAAAGTGTTTTAATAACCCCTGGAGTCTTAAGGAACATAAAAAAACGCACTCTTTTGAATGCAAAAAGTGTGGCAAGTCCTTTACTCGGGAACAAACACTTCACCAACATGCCAAAATACATACGGGAGAGAAACCTTATAAATGCAGTTATTGTGAAAGGCGTTTTAGGGCTATATACACCCTGAGGGTACATAAAAGACAACATACAGGCGAGAAGCCTTGTGAATGCAAGATGTGTGGCGAATGTTTCGCAACTTTAACGACTTTAAAACGGCATATAAAAAGAACACACAGCACAGTGAAGACTGAAACAAGTGAGGATGGCAGCTGCTTCAGTATCTCTGAACTTCTGAGCCAGCGTAAGAAAACAAAAACAGGCAAGAAGCGTTTTGAATGCGACCAGTGTGGCAAGTGTTTTAAAACTGCAACGACCCTGAAGAAACATAAAACAAAGCATGTCGTGGTGAAGCAGGAAGCGAGCGACGATGACAATTGTGTCAGTATCCCTGAAATTTTAAGAGACATTCGAAAAAACAAACGAAAATGAATTTTTATCAACGTGTCCCTTGCAGTGACTGCTTAAGTAGATGACAAAACTTGAGGGCACGTTCTTGAAAGGGAACTGAACAGCGTTTTAACTAACAGTTGGTCTGCATGCGTGGGAGGCGCCGGAGCGGTGCGCGAATGCAAGAATAAGCGCGCCGCGAAAACTTGCGCACTATGTTCTCTAGCGCTTGCTAAAGGCAGGCTAACCAGCAAAGAAACATGATCATAGAGTAAAATCGCAATTTTCACGGCTGTCAGCCATTTCAAGAAGCGAAATTACGTGCTATAATCTTTACCTGTTTTTTCCTCATTGGGTATAATTGAGACTAGCTAGGTCAGTTTGATTGCCTTGGGGCAGTCCATTACTTCGCCTTTTTTATGCTTGGATTTTGCTGAGAAAAATTGAAACGACTGTATAAAAGGAATTGTCAGATAAATATTGCAGGATTTGGTAGAAAAAATAGAGTAATATATTCGATTGACTTGATAAATGCAAACATGTGAAGATGATTTAGCCTAAAACGGTGTAAACAAAGTCTCGATAACACGAGTCGTGAAAATGTGGTCTACGCATAGCTTCTTTACTTTTAGTCGCATATAAGAAGCTCATGTTTTTAAGTGTTCCGCCAACTACTTGTTATTCCCCTTGATCTGTCGTTCGTGAGAAACCAGTCCAGTCCTAGAGTCCTCCAGTTTTCCAGTCCTCTAGTTCCCCAGTCCTCCAGTCCCCCAGTCCTGCACTCCAGTCCTCCAGTCCAGTCCTCCAGTCCAGTCCTCCAGTCCAGTCCTCCAGTCCAGTCTTCTACTTTTAAAATTAGATTTTGCGAATAGACTGCGCACTAGCGATTTAATGGCCGCTTCCGCTTCCAAATTGTAGTTGTTGTTGTTGTTGTTTGAGGGTAGTTTGGAGTGTGTAGGGTTGGCAGCTAGTTGTTTTGCTTCAGCTGAAGGTAAGGGAAGCTTTAAAATCTCGTGACAAAAGCTAGATCAGTAATATCAATGCACGGAAGTCATTTCTATCAAATTGAAAAGGAAACTTCACGCGAAAGAAGACGAACGCTAAGCTTAGTTTATTGGCTGTGTCTCTATGTCCGACAGCCGGACAGGTTTTTCAAAATGCTCCGTGTCCGGCAGTCAAAATTAGTTTTTAAAAATTTTAGTTCATAATGTCAAATCCTTGTTTATATGGCTGAATACTAATTTTGGGGAGCCCGGCACCCGGTATATCGGCACTCCGGTTAGCCTAAAAAGCACTCCGGTTAGCCTAAAAAGCACTTCGTTTAGCCTGAAAATCACTTCGGTTAGCCTGGATAGCACTCCGGTTGGCCTAAATAGCTCTCCGGTTAGCCTGTTTACGGTTATGCGTCAGTCAATGCCAGCAGTGCCCCTCTCCCCCCCCCCCCCCC